GAAACATTTGTACCTCTTGGGTTACGACACATTCGTACCTCTTGGGTCACGACATGTTCGTACCTCTTGAATCACGATACGTTCATACCTCTTCGGTCACGACACATATAAATATTATCTTCTAAAAAGTCAATATTAATATTTAAACTTATGAAAAAGTAAGACAAATATGATTGTGGTTATTAAAATGAAATATATGACTTTTCAATGAAGAGTTGTCAAATATTTGATGACATCATCAATCATATGAAAAGGTTTTTTTTGGTTCATTAGATCTTAAAATCAAGTTAATTATGACCATTGGATTGAATTTTTTTTTTCCTATAAAAAATGTTGATGTCACTTTCAGTTTGCTATTATATATAGATCTTTGGATTTTAACCAATTGATTCAATTCGTACGGGCCAATATAGATGAGAAACTCGTTTAGGACACAACTGTATCTAATTCGCAAAGTTCCACACGATACCATTGCTCCTACAGCAGTAAGCGGTAAGTTCCTTGTGACTCATTCATGTTCCATTTCCTCTTAAGGTTCCTAGTCTAAAATCACTAAAGCTACCTCAAATTTTAAAGGACAGGAGATTGCTAGCTTAAGTACTCTCATTAAGACTAGAGTTAGAACTGATAAGCAAACAGAGAATTTTAAGAGAAGAGGTTGATCAGCATAGTCTACATATATATAGATGATATTCTAGCTACACACTCTGCTTAATTACTTTACAGCTTCAAGAGGAGTGATCTGCGTTTTTGGTGAAAGATGACGTGCTCCTCTTGTGTACATACATTTTGGAAGATGATTAAGAAGTCTCTGAAGACAAGTAAACCTACCCCATCTGACTGCCTTTATTATCTTGAAAGAAACTTGATACAGTGACTAGAAAAACGGTGACGTTTTGCTGGTTACGACTTTATACAAGTCGTTCTTTTTGTACACTTGTCTCAAGGTAAAAGATCGCTACGCCACGTCATCTCATCCATTCCTTAAACACAGCGCGTGGTGTTCACTCCCTATCTGATCAGACAAAAGTAGCATCAAAGTCAATATCTATGTTCTTTCTTTAGCTCACCTGCGAAGCAAACAAAGAATCTCTCTCTCTAACGGAGAACTGTCGTGGTGGTTATGGCTCCAGCGGAGGTAATACTCGTCGACGTCGTCTTCATAGACGGCGTACTCGGGATGGTGAAGTTGACTGGCGACGGAGTTTTACAGGCGATCGAGTACGGTGAACCCAGCCGTTACTGGACGGTGAAGAAAGACGTTCTTGGTTTCGTCGTCGAAGGTAAAGAGATAAGAATAAAGACAGTGGTGGAGAGAGAGGAAGGTATCTGTTGCGGGGAGTTTGGTGGAGACTATTCCAGAAAAGACTTCGTCTTTGAGACTTTCTCTGAAGATGCTAGAAATAGATTCTGCTTCAGGCTTCGTCAATACCTTGACTCTCTTGGTTAGTCCTTTTCTTGCCACCCCTTTTATAGTAGTTAGGTTTAAGAAAATAGATAACTTGGGTGACACGTGCCCTGTTCGTTTTACAAACTCTGGAACCAGCGTCAGCGTTCAAAACTTACACCTATGTCCAGGGCAAATACACCGCTGGCGGGACAAAACCTATTTGTTTTCCCAGACGCTGCGGCAAATATAATAATTAAACTTGACGCTGAAAGGTAGCAGCGTCAGCGACCTCCGCTAATTATGTCTCCGTCAACTTGTTGGCGTCAGATTTAGTTTTCAAAACTCGATCAATTTGCCGGTGTCATAGGGATTTTTTTTGACGCAGCCGCTGACCGCTGCGAAAATTAAAAGAACAGGGCTACGGTGATGAAGAAACTCTATGACAATTCTAAAATAGGTAAGTCTTTTGTTGAAATTGTAGGTCGGCCTAAGAGGTTGCTTGTGTTTGTGAACCCTTTTGGCGGGAAGAAATCGGCTAAGAAGATATTTGAAAAGGAAGTGAAGCCATTGTTTGAAGATGCTGACATTCAGCTTGATGTTCAAGGTTTCCAGCTTTCTTCCTCTGTTTTCAAAACTCTTTCTCTGGGGAAACTAACACTTGGGGTATTGATGATGGTGATTTTCAAGAAACCAAGTATCAGTTGCATGCAAAGGAAATGGTTAGGTCCATGGATGTATCAAAGTACGATGGTATTGTTTGTGTCAGTGGCGATGGTGTCCTTGTTGAGGTATCTGATATGCTTTGTTTATATTCTTAATGATCTCTGATTCTTACAAGTGTGTCCTAATTTTAACTTAGGTTGTAAATGGACTGCTTCAACGAGAAGACTGGAAAACTGCCTTCAAATTGCCAATTGGAATAATCCCTGCAGGTTTGTGTTCTCTAAGAACTTTGCTTCTTGTGTACTTGATGTGTATTTGTAAAATTCATTGCTTCCAGGAACTGGTAATGGCATGATAAAGTCATTGTTGGATCCAGTTGGGCTTCAGTGCTGTGCAAATAGTGCTACTATCTCTATTATCCGAGGTCCTTCTCCATGCTATTGCATCTTTACAAAAACACTTCTTGTTTCTCCTCATGAACCAGCTCACTGTCCACATGATTTTGTATTGGCAGGCCATACACGTTCTTTAGATGTGGCTACTATCTCACAAGGAACTACCAAATTCTTCAGCGTCTTGATGCTTGCTTGGGGTATGCAAGTGACTTCAGAAATGTATATCTTGCTAATGAAAATAGTGCCTGAGCTTGGTAGTAGATTATACAGTTGATTTTGTTTCAGGTTTAGTGGCTGATATAGACATCGAGTCAGAGAAGTTCAGATGGATGGGCAGTGCTCGCATTGACTTCTATGTATGTTTTGTTTTAGTTGAAATAAACTTACGAATCTTTTGCAACTAAAGGTGATGTTTAATGCTCTCCTTACTGGCTTGTATCTGTAGGCCATTCAAAGGATAATAAGTTTAAGACAATACAATGGACGAGTTTTGTTTCTACCGGCTCCTGGGTTTGAAAGCTATGGGCAGCCAGCTAGTTTCTGTCTATACAAAGAGACACCTGTTAGCAATAATAAGGCGCTTGGATACCAAGGACCTGATACAAAATTTGAAGATTTTGAATGGAGAGAAATCAAAGGCCCTTTTGTTTCCGTATGGCTTCATAATGTGCCATGGGGTGCTGAGAACAATTTGGTTGCTCCTGCAGCAAAGGTCAGTTTTACACAATTTCAAATCAGGAAACACCATTCTTGGAGAAAATAGGAAAGTCTTAACTGACTTAGTTATTTATGCAAACACTTGATAACACTTTCTTTCCTGTATGGTCTGATGAGCAGTTTTCCGATGGCTTCTTGGACTTGATTGTCTTGAAAAACTGTCCTAAGCTAGCTTTGCTGTCACTAATGACACAGATAAGTGAGGGAACTCATGTTGAATCACCATATGTAGCATATCTAAAGGTTTGCCATCTGAAACCATGAATCTGCGATTTTGTGATTTGGCTTCACAAGTTGAAATGATTTACTGTTGACAAAAGGTGAAGGCATTTGCACTTGAACCGGGTGCATTGGTAGGTGAACCAGACAAGGAAGGAATCATAGATGCAGATGGAGAGGTATTGGCAAGGGGAAGAAGATCTTACAAATGTGAGCAAGTTGCTTTGATGTCTTACGACAAGCTTCAAATAACAGTTGATCAAGGTTTAGCTACTCTCTTCTCTCCTGAGTACTGATAAATGTTACAACACTACACGTGAGATATGAAGACACCTTAACATCATAATTCATACACACTGATTGAGCTTTTCTATCTTTCACTTATTGTAAATGTTGTTCCCTTGTGGTTGGTGTAATTTAATTGTTTCACATGTACATGTAACATTATTTGGAAATGAGAATCACAGTTGTTTTCTGTTTCCTTCTCATTAATCGTGTGAGATTCTACACAAGATTATACTTATGGATGAAAGCTGAGTACCTTTTCTAAGCTCATAGTAAACAAAAAAGAAAATGGAGTTTAGATTCATACAATTCACAAGAAGACAATTTATCTGGCTTGACATTATCTTTACTGTCTACACAACATTCATCTCCAGAGGGTGTAGCAGCAATAGTCTTAAAACCCAAATCACTATCCTAAAGCCATAGTATCATCACATTAATCAGTTACCAGCATTAGGCAAAGCAGCCATAAACGAGTTGTATGATGACTCAAGATCAAAATGAAGCTGCCTAGCCTGCTGCTCAGTGAGCTCATCAGAAGCTCCCATCTTAGACAACCTCAAAAGCCACTCTTTCATCTTAACCTTCCCTTCAAAATCCGCCCCCAAAATACTCAGCTTATTCAGCGAAGCCGAGAGATCAGACAACAAGGGAAACACCTGGTCAACAGCCACCATATTAAGCTTCAAAGAATCCATACAAGTAATAAAATTCTGAACACACTCAGCAACAACGGAAGCAGAGCTCGAAGTAGACGCCACCGCAGCGGCACGATGCTCCACGGTGGCCGGGACACCACCGGAGGTCACGAGGCGGTACACAGCAGCGGAGCAGTCCATTTTGTAAGTTTCGGCGAACCTCTCGATGTTTGGAACCAAGTCTTTAAGCGTTGCTGAGAGGGTTTTGAAGTGAACGATGAGTTTTTGACACTCGGTTTCGTAGTCGGATGGGGAGATGAGGTCGCGAATGTAAGCCTTTTCGAGCTTCTCGGTGGCTTTGATGATAGCGTAGAGCTCGGAGAAGTTCTCGTACATTTCTCTCTCACGCTTGTCGTTCCATAACTTGATGACCTCCATTTGAGCTTTTCAGTTGTAGGGAACTATGGAGAAGAGAATGGGACACGCGCAAAGATGCGGGGAAAAGTAATAAGCTCCGTTACTGTATCAAACAAACAATGGCAGTCACATTTAAGGGAAAGAGAAATGAAGATAAGGTAAAGGGTGAAGCATGAGAGAGAAAACATTCAGCTAAACGGAAGGTAAGAACAAGAAAAAAAACCCATACGAGCAATCTTATGACCCTAAATCATTCTAATCTAAGACTAAATTCCCAATTTTTATTACATCAAGGGAAAGTGACCATTGTAAAGTGAAAAGACAAGGGACATGGAAGACAACATATAGACCACGAGAAAGTAGCAACGTTTTGTAATAAATGATGGTCATGTAAGCAAAGAAGCGATAAACATGGGTTAGAAGAGAAGAGAAAACCCAATCAACGTTACTCTAAGTCATCCTAATCTAACAGACAAAGTCCCCAACTTTTTTTTTTCCGTAGAGAGAGAGAGAGGATACTTACAGGAAGCAAGTTGGGAGATTTGGATTGTGGAGAGAGGGTTGCGTGTAAGGAGAGGGGGGTCTTTTATGAGATTGATGACGAAAGCTTCACTGCGCAACGAACTCTCTTGTTGTCTGGCTGGGATCATCAACGAAATAATAATAATAGTAATAATTGATGCGTTAAATTCGATTAAACCCCTAAATCAAAAATTTGAAATCTTTAAGACGAGTTTTGTATTAGTTGCGAGAGAGAGATTTACAGAGGCTTGACCTTTGAGGCGTTGACAATAAAAAGAGAGAGAGAGAGAGGATTTGTCAGAGAGAATCACTCGAGCAGAGAGCCACCATTAGTGAAGGCTATGTTATGTATGATCTTCTTTTGTCAGATTTCGAGAAAAAAAAAAACAGAAGAAAAATCGTCTCGTCTCGTCTGCGACTGCGTGTTGTAGTTGTGATGTTCAGAAAACTCTCTGTACTGTCCTTTCCCACACCTTTCCTTTTTTTACCCTCTTTTTCTCATATTATTGTATTTTTATTATTTCGAAAATTTGGTTTAAGAAAAAAACTGAATAGTAGTGGCATGGAATCATGAAAATTGTAACATGTGTATTCGATTCATGCAGTAAAATGATACTCCATAAAGTTTTTTATCCATTGTGTGAGTTTGCAAACAAAACTTTTTGAGAGAAGTGGAAATGGTTTAACATAATTGTCCATATCATTTGGACATTATTGTATGTTTTTCCCAAATCATAACAAGCAATAGTTTCTATAAGTCTCCGAATACTAGATTCTATAAAGAAGGATGGCATCATCATAAAAGCCTTTAAAGCAACAGCTTTGTTTTAATTTCTCCCACATACCATTACACTCAAAATCACCAAGGATTTGCTACAAGATGGCTCTGATGAATCACCAGTCTAACGGGGGGGCCAAGATCATTCCGTCTTTTTGTCAAGTTTCTTCTTGGTCTCCCCACTATAAGGACCAACATGATAAGCATGCTTCTGGACCGCAGCAAAGATAACCATCTCAACACACACCAACACATTCTGAATAGCCTCCTGGATTTGTTCTACCTCCAACCAGAAATGGTGTGATTTGATCACTCCCATCGCCACCAGAATGTCTAGTGCTATTCCCTGCGGTCCCATAATTACAAATAATCTTAATGATTTTTTTAATCCAAGAATTAAGTTCTTGCTTTTGAGGGGTTTAGTGATTATGCAAAAAACATTTACCTGCCAAAAGCAAAAGAAGACGATTCCTTTGATGCAAAGGAACTTCGCAAGGGGATTATGAGGAGCAAGCTCCTTAGCAAACACATGGTAGAAGATCACAAGTGAATACAAGGCCAAAGAAACCGAGACATTGAGAACGATAGTGAATGTCCAGCTCAGCCAAGAAGGATAAAACCCGATGATTTGTAAAGCAATCATCAAGATAGAGCACACTGGTCGGATAACCACAAATTGCCATGTCCAGTATTTCAAGAGTCTCAGAGTGCGATGATCCAAACGGACTACATGAGGCTGTCAAAGTCAAAAAAATATTTTATTTAGATTAAAGAGGCATACAAACTTAGAAGAGACTCTCTGAAGATAGATAGAAACCTGGAAAAGAGTCATTGGGAAAGAATGGTGAATCTCTCTTCCTTTGATTCCATCAGGTACAATGTTTTTGCTGATAGATATGTTCAAATAACTATACATCAACGCCAAGAACTTCGCAATGACCTGCGATATAACTCAAGAACCAGTAAGAACCTCTATACAACGTTGAAGACTAACAAGACAAAAAGAGATTTAAAAAAAGAGTACTCACGAGTGCTTCGTAGCATTCTTTGATGGATTCAAGAAACAGGAAGAAGGTTTCACTTCCTTTGACATCTAACAAACCAACAAAGGAAACGACGGCGTAGATAGGAGCCATGAGAACAATGACGAGTATAGCCTTTTGTTCCTTGGGGTTCTTCCAGTGAAAGAGATGTTGAGAGACAAGCTGAATCGTCAAATGGAGCGTGATCAAGACAGAAAACGCTGAACAGTAAAAAGTGATCTGTGGAGGCTTCAGCTTCGTTAGGTCCATCATTGTTCCCCTGCATCAGACAGAGGTTTCACAAACTCTTTAGCATCAAAGAAGAAAGCATACATCTGAATTTTCACAACATCATTAAAACCAAATTGTTATCTTTGTGCAATTCGTTCCTATTCTCGAATCTAAGATTGTTTTGATGAGATTTAGACGGCTAAGTACGAAATATAACACAAGGAAACAAAGAGATATTGGAGAACAGTATGTAGCCGGTTAAAAAAAAAAGCTCAAAACTTTTTGATTGATTGAGAAAAACCTGTGAATCAGAACTGATGAACACTCTAAACCCAATCATACCCATTAATTTGAATTCGATTTAGTTCCTAATTTTCCGAAATGGTGATTTCGAAACAATGCGATCTCTGTGAATCTGATCAAAGCTAAACATAAGAGCTAACCAGGGAGGGAGAGAGAGAGAGAAGAACTAACCGGAGAAGAAGCGCGATGAGAGTGTGAGAGACGTGAATAGAATCAGATCTCTCTACTTCTTAGATAATGAAGACCGCCATTGATGGAGCTGCAAGTGGGTCCTACTGATGATGATGTATTAATATTATTATATTTGCCACGTGAGACGCCACGATTTGATCCCATCTGGCACAATGTCTTTGATGATACAAGTGTTCAACATACATCAATGTCAAGAGTTTAGCAATACAAATTGAACACTACTATTTTCCAAATTTGGATCACAACGATTAAAAGAAAGAACGCAAATCATTTTTGGCCTTGCCTGTAGAGTTATCAGATTCAAATCACTTAGGTTTAACTTCTTCAATGTGTTTATGTTTGAGTTGTTTCGTTTTAGGTTCGATATCAAAACAAGAGAAAACACAAGATTTGTTCATCCGGTGTTCGCTGATCTACTCACCGAGGAGGGAATCAGAGTCCCTCAATAGATTCACTAATCAAATCTCGATCAAGATACAATGTTTCCAATAGAGAATACACGAAAACAGAGCTTTATAAGAGAATAACACAAACTGATTGTTTCCTCCGTGAAATCGGAAAGTTACTGCCGGAATGATTCGATCCAACCGTGTACCGTCTTCGCAACTCCGTCGATAATCACCCTCACGATCACGATCATCCAAGCTAAGTTCCAGCTTTATCTCTCTTCACTCTCAGATCTTGATCTGGTTTTTCTCTCTTCGTTGTGTTAAAGACGATGAGATTCAAAATTTTGTTTATAACAACCTTTTTCCACTTGCGTTTCCAAAACGCAGCCGTATTGATAAGTGAAATGGTATCGGGCTGAGACTTGGGCTTTCTCTTTTCAGGTTTCGGATGATAATGCAATTGGGCCTCAAGAGATGGAAGCCCACTTGGAGTTTGTCTGAATTAGATCCACAAACTCCACCTTTCAGACATAACACCAAGTGTTGTCATTTCTACGCGAAACCTTAGCTGACTCGTCTCTCTGCTTCTGTCTGAGATGATTCATCGTCTCCATCAACCCGAGACAACCCAGACAGTTTCTGAAGCTCTCCTCCGACTCCCTCTTACTCTGAGAGTAACCTGAACTCAAGGTACCCTCTCAATCTCTCCATTTCTTTTATCAGAAACTTCCTTTATGCTGAAATCTCATAAAACCTCTCTCTGACATTTGATCTTGTCCTCTTTATGCAGATTCTGAAGGTTTCAAACTCAGATAACCTGACGACGACCTTGCATGTCCCTGGTTTGAACTGAAGAACCCTCAAACCCTTCTGCATGTACCAGATCCGAGTCACGATTCTACCGATCTATCAATATGACATCAAAAGTATTCACCTTTAACCGCAACAAAACTCAGATAAGCTTCCACAGACCTTTCTTCTTTTGTTGAATTACAAAACTTTATCTTGCAGAACCTGATAGCTCACTTAGACCTTACTGACTTTGACATCTTTTCTGTTTCAGGAACCCTGAAGAGACTCCACCTGAAACCGAAGACTCGTAACCACTCTACCTCGCTTCCAGTACTTGGGTAATGACTTCTTTCTCTGTAAACACTGTGTTAAAACTCAGAATCGAAATGATTAGCTGTATAATAAGTGATAAAGACTAACTCATTTCTTTCTGTCTTGCGAGGTAAAAGATCAAAACCATAGCCATGTCATTACCCAAAGCCGAGTCAAAAATCAGAACAAATTCACCAGCTCAGAACACAGCCTGAACTTCGGAACAGGTAACAACTTTGTCAGAAAATCTGCTGGATTTCTGCTTGTATGAATTTTATGTAAAACAACATCACCCTGAGCAACAATATTACGGATGAAGTGATACTTGTTTGCAATGTGTTTGGTCTTTTCATGATACACTGTATTCTTTGCTAGAGCCAGAGCACTTTGTGAATCACAATATAGTTTAACCCTGTCAATTTGTTGACCCAATTCTTTGCAAATACCTTTTAACCAAATAGCTTCCTTGGTTGCTGAGGCGAGTGCCATATACTCTGCTTCAGTAGTCGAAAGAGCAACAGCATATTGTAGATTAGACCTCCAAGATATTGTGTTTCCCCAAACTTTGAAAACATATCCTGTAACTGAACGTCTTCTGTCTAAATCTGCTGAGTAATCTGAATCTGAAAACCCTTTAACTTTGCATTCTGAGTGTTTGATGAAAGTTAGACATGTTTTAGATTCTCCCCTTAAAAACCATAGGATCCATTTCACTACTTGCCAATGATCCATTCCTGGTTTACTCATAAATCGACTCACCACTCTCACTGCATGAGCTAAGTCTCGTCGGGAGCCTATCATGGCATAAATTAGGCTCCCCACAGCACTCGCATAAGGGATGTTCTCCATTCTTGAAGCTTCTGCCATAGCTTCCTCCTTAGTCAAACTCTTCAACTTGAATTGAGGCACCAATGGAGTTGAGGTTGGCTTAGCCTCTTCCATTCCAAAACTCTCAAGAACCTTCTCGATATAGTTTTCTTGTGATAAGATAAGAGTACCCTTCTCCCTGTCTTGAATTATATCCATACCCAAGATCATAGAAGCCTTTCATAGATCTTTCATCTCAAACTCTCTGCTTAGGTTTTCCTTAGTTCTCTATATTTCAACCAAATCACCTGATGTTATTAGCATGTCATCAACGTATAGCAGTAGATAGATGGCTTTAGGAGTGTTGACATTTCTCAGGTATACACATGAGTCGTACTTGCTCTTTAGGAACTTTTCCTTTTTCATAAATCTCTCAAACTGTAGATTCTATTGTCTTGGTGAATGCTTTAAACCGTAGAGAGACTTCCTTAGCAGACATACCGTGTTCTCATCCCCTGGCTTAATGTACCCTTCAGGTTGATCCATTAGAATCCTTTCCTCTAAAGACCCGTGTAGGAAAGCTGTCTTAACATCCATCTGCTCTAGCTCGTAGTCTCTGTTAACCACAATA